ACCATGTTGGCCAGGCCTGGTCTTGAACTCCTGACCTCAGGTGATCCACCCGTCTTGGCCTCCCAAAGTGCAGGAATTACAGGTGTGAGCCAGTGCAGCCAGCCCTTTTTGCTTTTTAGAGACAAGGTCTCACTCTTGCTAAGGCTGGAGTGCAGTGCCATCACAGCTCACTACAGCCTCGACCTCCTGTGATTGTCCTGCCTCAGCCTCCTGAGTAGCTGGGACTACAGGTGCACGCCACCACACTTGGCTAATTATTTGTAGAGGTGGGGTCTTGCTATGTTGCCCAGGCTGGTCTCAAACTCCTGGGCTCAAGTGATCCTTCTGCATGGCCTCCCAAAGTGTTGGGATTACAGGTATGAGCCACTGTACCTGGCCGTCGTTTTCTTTCTGATGCCATATCCAATGGCTGGAGGGTGTATTTGGGATGACCTGACTCTGGTAGGCAACTTCCAGTGGACCCCACAGTGAGACCACCTCCCTTTGACTGTGGGGAGATGTAGCAACTTTTTTTTTTTTTTTGAGACGGAGTCTTGCTCTGTTGCCCAGGCTGGAGTGCAGTGGCGTGATCTCCCGCTCACTGCAAGCTCTGCTTCCTGGGTTCACGCCATTCTCCTGCCTCAGGGTCCCAAGTAGCTGGGACTAAAGGCACCCACCACCATGCCCGGCTAATTTTTTTATGTTTTTAGTAGAGGCGGGGTTTCATCATGTTAACCAGGATGGTCTCGATCTCCTGACCTCATGATTCATCCACCTCAGCCTCCCAAAGTGCTGGCATTACAGGCGTGAGCCACCGCGCCCGGCGTAGCGACTGGTTTCTAGCAGTAGGATGGGGCAGAGGTGACAGTTGGTTAGTCTTGTGGTTAGGCTACAAAACCGACCTCTGGATGGTAGCATCCCTCCTGCCAGCCCTCTGTCTTGCCCTCTCGCTGGCTGGCTGTGGTGGAGCCAGCTGTCATGGTGAGCGGCCCTGTGGAGAAGCCAGGGAGGAACCGGGAGAAACTGAATCACACCAACAACCACGTGCGTGAGCTTGCTGTATGCTCTTGCTTGGGGGCAAGTTACAGACTCAGCCCAAGAGGAGTGGACCCCTCCAGGGTGTGATACCAGGAGGGGGAATCGGAAGCACGCCGACAGGAGTGTGTGTGTGTAGGACGTTATTTCTCACTGGGAGAAAAGCAAGTTTGAAAACCACTCCCATGAGATGGGTGGGCTGAGGATAAAAGCCTCAAAGCCTCTGGTTCTCTGAATAGGTGCGTAGGACTCACCCAGGCACTCTTTCCTTTTTTAAATTGTGATAAAAAGTACACAACACTGGCCAGGCGTGATGGTGCACTCCTGTAATCCCAGCTACTAGGGAGGCTGAGGCAGAAGAACTGCTTGAACCAAGGGGGCACCGCTCCCGGCTGTAACAAGTTTCCAACATCCCCCCTCTTCCGTGGCACAGGGGCTGGCCCCACATACATATGCGATGGCAACTGACCAGGTCCCTGATAGACCGGAGTGCTCCAGAAACACCTCGTTGCCTGGGATGGAGGATGATGTTATGTGGCCCTCCGAGGGTTTGAGTTTGATATATGGGCAAAGGAAGTGGTTTTTAGTAGAAAGCCAGGCTTCCTTTTTTTTTTTTTTTCTTCCAGCCAGCAAACCCCAAACAGGAACCTATGGTTGGTGATGGATGTGCATTCAGAAGGCGGGGAGGAAGCGGGAGTCAGAGGTGAGGGCAGTCATCAGTCATAGCTGTCCGCTGCATCACCCTCTCGCTATCTCCAGAAAGTTTTCTGGACTTCTCCTGTTGTGCAGTGTGGAAGTGCCCCATCTTCATTCATATCGAGTAAAGTCAAAGGACAAACTCTAAAGATGGCAGCATCTTCCTGCCTTCCTAGTCAGGTTGCCGCTGTAGCGGAGTGCCACCCTGATTTCCAGCCCTGCAGCACACAGTCACACAGGGAGAACCTGCCTGGCGTGATCCAGAGGCAACGTATCTCCCAAGGTGATTGTGAAGGAACCAGAGGGATAAACACAGCCCGTGAACCGCGAGCCAGAAGACGGGTCCAGCTGGCTGCTGTTGACTCATCAGGGCGTGTTGCGTCCGAGCACTTCTCCAAACCACCCAAGTGGCACCCAGGGCGACATGTACATCACCTTGAGTACAATTCTCTCAAGGAAAAAAACAAGCCCAGCATCTTCTGCGATGGCAGCCCTGGCTTGGAGCCTCATAGGAGAGAAGGCCTTAAGAATACCATTTTCTTGCTCTAAGTTGCTCTTACAGGAAACAAGTGATAATATTCTTTTTTTTTTTTTTTGAGACGGAGTCTCGCTCTGTCACCCAGGCTGGAGTGCGGTGGCGCGATCTCCACTCACTGCAAGCTCCGCCTCCCGGGTTCACGACATTCTCCTGCCTCAGCCTCCCGAGTAGCTGGGACTACAGGCACCTGCCACCACGCTCGGCTAATTTTTTTGTATTTTCAGTAGAGATGGGGTTTCACTGTGTTAGCCAGGATGGGCTCGATCTCCTGACCTCGTGATCCGCCCGTCTCAGCCTCCTAAAGTGCTGGGATTACAGGCGTGAGCCACCACGCCCAGCGTGATATTCTTTCTAAATGCCATCAATCACACCTACATGTGTCACCGAGGGCCGGATCATTCTCTGCTGTGGTGGGGCTGTCCTCTGCATTGAAGAATGCTGAGCAGTGTCCTTGGCTTCAACTGACCAGACGCCAGAGGCACCCCAATTTCTTCCATCGGGGGACTGACTTACCTTCACTGTTGCGTTTGATTCTTTTCATGTATCTTTAAAAAAGGACCCAGTGGGGCCAGGCGCAGTAGCTCACACCTGCAATCCCAGCACTTTGGGAGGCTGAGGTCAGTGGATTGCTTGAGCCTAGGAGTTCAAGACCAGCCTGGGCAACATAGTGAAAACCACCTCTACAAAACACTTTTTTTTTTTTTTTTTTTTTAGACGGAGTTTCGCTCTTGTTGCCCAGGCTGGAGTGCAGTGGCGCAATCTCGGCTCACTGCAACCTCCGCCTCCTGGGTTCAAGCGATTCTCCTGCCTCAGCCTCCTGAGTAGCTGGGATTACAGGCACGCACCACCACGCCCGGCTAATTTTGCATTTTTGGTAGAGATGGGATTTCTCCATGTTGGTCAGGCTGGTCTCAAACTCCCAACCTCAGGTGATCCGCCTGCCTCGGCCTCCCAAAGTGTTGGGATTACAGGCGTACGCCACCGTGCCCGCTCGACTTTATAGTTTTATAACCCTTATGGCAAATCTCATAGTATTCTGCAGGGATAAGCACAAAACCATTTGTTCAATAAATGCAAACAGAAACGCTAACAATTCTTAAGACATTTCTAATCTTATTTTACCAATAATTTTAAAGCCAGCTTTTGTATTAAAGATTTATAGCCACTGTTATTAACGTTTTAAATTCTATGCAGCTTAAAGCATTTATAATTGATAAAACTGCTGATGCTGAGTACCTGACCTAATATTTGAAAGGTGGCAGGCATTCAGCCACGGTCGCTGAGTTAATCGGAGACGTAGAGAAGATGATGTCAGGGAGGGTTTTTAGATATAAACACCCTGATATTTATCATTTTAACCACTTGGAAGTGCACATACAAGTCAATGGCATTGGCCAGGTGCGGTGGCTCACGCCTGTAATCCCAGCACTTTGGGAGGCCGAATCACAAGGTCAGGGTAGATCGAGACCATCCTACCTAATGCGGTGAAACCCCGTCTCTACTAAAAATACAAAAAATTAGCCAGGCATGGTGGCGGGAGCCTGTAGTCCCAGCTACTCAGGGACTCATGCCTCCATCTCCCAAGTAGCTGGGATTACAGGTGTGTGCCACCATGCCCGGCTAATTTAACGCCCAGCTAGCTTTTGTATTTTTAGTAGAGATGGGGTTTCACCATGTTAACCAGGCTGGTCTCGAACTCCTGATCTCAAGTGATCCACCCGCCTCAGCCTCCCAAAGTGCTGGGATTACAGGCGTGAGCCACCGCGCCCGGCTGATTTTTATTCTTTTAATGAAGGTTGGTTGATGTTACCTTGTCTGTATATACCGCACGTTGTTTATCCATTGTTGTTGATGAATATTTGGCTGGTTTCACCTCTTGGCTATTGTGAATAAAGCTGCTAGGAACACTGGTGTACAAATATGTTCGAGATCCTGTTTTCGATTCTTTTAGGTGTATACGCAGAAGTGGAATTGCTGGATTTTACGGCAATCCCACGTTTAACTTTTGGAGGAGCTGCTAAAACTGTTTTCCACACCACAGCAGTGGCACCATGTTATGTCCCCGCCAGCAAGGCACGCGCAGTCCAACTTCTCTGCATACTCACCAACGTTTGCTGTTTTCCATTAAAAAAAATTATAGCTGGTCGGGCGCAGTGGCTCATGCCTGTAATCCCAGCCCTTTGGGAGGCCAATGTGGGTGGATCACCTGAAGTTCGGAGTTCAAGACCAGCCTGGCCAATGTGGTGAAACCCCAGCTCTACTAAAAATACAAAAATTGCCGGGCGCGGTGGCTCAAGCCTGTAATCCCAGCACTTTGGGAGGCCGAGACGGGTGGATCACGAGGTCAGGAGATCGAGACCATCCTGGCTAACACGGTGAAACCCCGTCTCTATTAAAAAATACAAAAAACTAGCCGGGCGAGGTGGCGGGCGTCTGTGTTCCCAGCTACTCGGGAGGCTGACGCAGGAGAATGGCGTAAACCCGGAAGGCAGAGCTTGCAGTGAGCTGAGATCCGGCCACTGCACTCCAGCCCGGGCGACAGAGCCAGACTCCTTCTCAAAAAAAAAAAAAAAAAAAAAAACAACAACAAAAATTAGCCCGGCGTGGTGGTGCACACCTATAACCCCAGCCACTTGGGAGGCTGAGGCTGGAGAATCACTTGAACCCAGGAGGTGGAGGTTGTAGTGGGCCGAGATGGCGCCACTGCACTCCAGCCTGGGCAAAAAGAGCGAGACTCTGTCTGGAAAAAAAAAAAAAAAATTATAGCCATCCCAGAAGTTGTGAAGTCATATCTCACTGTGGTTTTGATGAGTATTTTCCTAGCGACATCAGGGAGTTTATGGGAGCACGGGAACACAGGCCAGGCCCCAGCAGGCGGACGAACGGTGCAACGCCAGGCTGGCCAGAGGAGATAAGCGCGGCTCCTTGGAGCTTGTGTGCAAGTCACTGTCCTGGGGAGCCGGCTACGGCTCGATGAGTCTCAATTAGGAAAGGCCGGGGCTGGCGGAGGAAGGGAGGAGAGCATTCTTCATTCTCATCACATCCTGAGCCCGTGCCCAGGCTCCCACCACTTCCCTCCCTGGCCACAGAACCCAGGACAGGGCTGAGGAACCATGTCTCCATCCCCGACCACCCTCTTCTGTCTCGGTGAGTCCTGAGGGTCGATCTGGGAAGTGCTGAAAGACAGGCCTAGACTGCCAGACAAAGGATTTTTTAAGAAATTTGCATCGGTGATGAATTTCAGGACAAAAAGGGACCTATGAGAGCCCCTTCATTGGTTGGGTGGGGAAGCGGAGGGCCAGCGAGGTGGTGTATTTTGCCTGAGTTATTCCAGTGTATTCGTGGCTGGGTCAGGAAATGAACAGAGGTGTCCTAGCATTGGTCACAACTTTGTCCTACGACACTACAGTTGCCCCTTTTTAAATAACTGTGGGCTTAAGGCCGGGCGCGGTGGCTCACGCCTGTAATCCCAGCACTTTGGGAGGCCGAGGCGGACGGATCACAAGGTCAGGAGATCGAGACCACGGTGAAACCCCGTCTCTACTAAAAATACAAAAAATTAGCCGGGCGCGGTTGTGGGCGCCTGTAGTCCCAGCTACTCGGGAGGTTGAGGCAGGAGAATGGCGTGAACCCGGGAGGCGGAGCTTGCAGTGAGCCGAGATCGCGCCACTGCACTCCAGCCTGGGCTGGGCGACAGAGCGAGACTCCGTCTCAAAAAAAAAAAAAAAAAAAAAAAACTGTGGGCCAGGCACAGTGGCTCATGCCTGTAATCTCAACTTTGGGAGGCCAAGGTGGGTGGATCACCTGAGGTCAGGAGTTCAAGACCAGCCTGGCCAACATGGCGAAACCCCGTCTCTACAAAAATTAGCCGGGCATGACGGGGGGGTGCCTGTAATCCCAGCTACTCGAGAGGCTGAGGTGGGAGAATTGCTTGAAACCGGGAGGCAGAAGTTGCAGTGAGCTGAGGTCAGGCATTGCACTCCAGCCTGGGCAACAGAGAGAGACTCCGTCTCAAAAAACCGCTGAGTGCCGTGGCTCACGCACTTTGGGAGACCGAGGCGGACGGATCACCTGAGGTTGGGAGTTGGAGACCAGCCTGACCAACATGGAGAAACCCCATCTCTACTGAAAAATACAAAATTATCTGGGCGTGGTGGCGCATGCCTGTAATCCCAGCTACTCTGGAGGCTGAGGCAGGAGAATCGCTTGAATCCGGGAGGCGGAGGTTGCAGTGAGCCGAGATCACGCCATTACACTCCGGCCTGGGCAACAAGAGCAAAACTCCATCTCAAAAAAACAAACAAACAAAAATTGTGGACTTGATGATATCTGGACTAGGTTATGGATTTAATTTGTCAGTATCCCCTACAGCAGTGGAGTAAATAAGAGTCTCCTGACCGATGGGTGGCAGGTCGAATGCATTTCCACTGCCTGCTCTTCACTTGTGCTGGGCATGTCGAATGCATATTTCCTGATTTCTTCAGGAGAATTTGACCACTAAAGGGACAGCATCTCCAAAAGGCTAAGCAGGAAGGAGATGGTTGTGTTACTGGAGATGAGAGGGTTAACTGTGAATATAAACAACCTCTCATTCATTATCCATCCACGGATGTATTCTTTAACTTTTTTTTTTTTTTTTGAGATGGAGTCTCACTCTGTTGGTTGCTTAGGCTGGAGTGCAGTGGCACGATCTTGGCTCACTGCAAACTCTGCCTCCTGGGTCCAAGTGATTCTCCTGCTTCAGCCTCCGAAGTAGCTGGGATTACAGGCATCCACCGCCAGGTCCGGCTAATTTTTATATTTTTAGTAGAGACGGGGTTTCACCATGTTGACCAGGCTGGACTTGAACTCCTGACTTCAGGTGATCTACCCGCCTCGGCCTCCCAAAGTGCTGGGGTTACAGGCGTGAGCCACCGCATCCGGCCTGTTTTAACTTTTATTTATTTAATTTTACTTGAGACAGGGCCTCACTTCTGTCACCCAGGCTGGAGTGCAGTGGCATGATCATGGCTCACTCTAGCCTCAACCTCCCAGGCTCAACCAATCCTTTCCCATCAGCCTCCTGAGTAGCTGGAACTATAGTTGCACACCATCATGCCTGGCTCATTTTTGTAATTTTTGTAGTTATGGGGTCTCGCTATGCTGCCCAGGCTGGTCTCGAACTCTTGGGTTCAAGCGATCCACCTACCTCGGCCTCCCAAAGTGTTGGGGTTACAGGTTTGACCTGTACAGGTTACTGCATCTGGCTTAATTTTTGCTTCAATTGCTTTTGGGATACAAGTGGTTGTTGGTTACATGGATGAACTATATAGTGGTGAATTCTGAGATTTTAGTGCCCCTGTCACTTGAGTAGTATACCTTGTACCTAATGTGTAGTTTTTCATCCCTACCCACCTTCTGCCCTTCTCTTCTGAGTCTCTGAAGTCCATTACATCACCCTGTATGCCTTTGCATACCCACAGCTTAGCTCTCACTTGTAAGTGAGAACATACAGATTTTTGTTTTCCACTCCTGTGTTACTTTACTTAGAATAATGCCTCCAGCTACATCCAAGTTGCTGCAAGACATTTTTTTTTTTGAGCTGGAATCTCGCTGTTGCCGAGACTGGAGTACAGCAGCGTGATCTTGGCTCACTGCAACCTCCTCCTCCCGGGTTCAAGCAATTCTCCTGCCTCAGCCTCCCGAGTAGCTGGGACTACAGGCATCAGCCACCTCGCCCGGCTAATTTTTGTATTTTTAGTAGAGACGGGTTTCACCGTGTTAGCCAGGATGGTCTTGATCTCTTGACCTCATGATCCACCCGCCTCGGCCTCCCAGAGTGCTGGCATTACAGGTGTGAGCCACTGTGCCTGGCCAAAGGACATTATTTTGTTCCTTTTAATGGCTGAGTAGTATTCCACACTCATTTATTTTTACTTATTTTTTGACACAGAGTCTCACTCTGTCGCCCAGGCTGGAGTGCAGTGGTGTGATGTCAGCTCACCGCAACCTCCATCTCCCAGGTTCAAGTGATTCTCCTGCCTCAGCCTCCTGAGTAGCTGGGATACAGGCTCCTACCACTACGCCCAGCTTATTTTGTACTTTTACTAGAGACAGGGTTTCCCATGTTGGTCAGGCTGGTCTTGAACTCCTGACTTCAGGTGATCCACCCGCCTTGGCTTCCCAAAATGCTGGGATTACAGGTGTGAGCCACTGCGCCTGGCCAGTGAGAACTTTAAAACCTACTCTCAGTGATATGCGAGTGTGCAATATGTTGTTATAAAACACTGGATGCCTGGTTAAATTTGAATTTCAGATAATTAGTACCTTTTTTTTTCTCTTCTTCTTATTTTACTGAAACAGGGTCTTGCTCTGTTGCCCAGTCTTGAGTGCAGTGGTGCAATCTCAATTTTTTTTTTCTCGAGATGGAGTCTTGCTGTGTTGCCCAGGCTGGAATGCAGTGGTGCGATCTCAGCTCACTGCAACCTCCACCTCCTGGGTTCAAGCAATTCTCGTGACTCAGCCTCCCAAGTAGCTGGGATTATAGGTACGTGCCACCATGCCCAGCTAATTTTTTATATTTCTAGTACAGATGTTGTTTCACCATGTTGACCAGGCTGGTCTCGAACTCCTGACCTTGTGATCTGCCCACCTTGGCCTCCCAAAGTGCTGGGATTATAGGCGTGAGCCACCGCGCCTGGCCAGTGGTGCAATCTTACCTCACGGCAGCCTTGACCTCCTGGGCTCAAGCAATCCCAGGAGGGGATCACTTATATATATGTATTTATATGCATATATACATGCATATACACACATGTATACATACATATAGCGATCAGATCAGGGTAAGCAGCACACCCATGTTCTCAAACATGCATCCTTTCTCTGTGTTGGAAACCTTCACCATCCTCCTTCAGGCTACTTGAAACGATATATTATCATATATATTACATCCTACCATGTAATCACGGAATATCGATTCAACCAAACGTTGTAAATACTGTGAAACCCATGGCCAGTACACGCTGAGATGACCTGACTTACACACTGGGGCTCCATCCTGCTCCATCCCTGGAGCCCAACGCATCCTATTAGTGTGGGGTTTTACTGCATGTATTACATATACAATAAAATACAACAATATACAATATGCAATAGTATTTACAATACTTGTCTAATACAATTGCGTACTATTGGAATGCCCTTGGATATTATTTCATATTGGAGACCGAAGGGAGGAAACGAAGGGACAGCAATATCTGAGGTCCCATTCCTCACATCCACTGAGGAAGTCAACGGGCAAATGTCTAACACGAAGGAATCCACAGATAGCAGCATGCGTACTTTTTCCTAGAACGATGAAGATATAAAAATGCCAGAAGGAACAACAGAAATAGTAAAAAATGTATGCGGGGCGGGGACAGTGGCAGGAGCTGGACAGGGTGGGTCAAGGAATCTCTGCTTGACTTTCAAAAGATCTATTTTTTGAGATGGGGGTCTCACAACGCTGTCCAGGCTGGAGCGCAGTGGGCACCATCTCGGCTCACTGCAGGCTCGACCAGGAATCCTGGGCTCAAGGCATCCTCCCAACCTCAGCCACCCCAAGTAGCTTGGACCACAGGCACATACCACCATGCCTGACTAACTTTTTTTTTTTTTTTTGGTAGAAATGAGGTCTCACTATGTTGGCCAGGCTGTTCTCCAACTCCTGACCTGAGATGATCTGCCCTCCTTGGCCTCCCAAAGTGCTGGGATTACAGTGTGAGCCACCATGCCTGGCCTTAAAATAGTTGTCATTGTGGTAAAATACATAGAAAAGTCTGCTATAGCTGGCATTTGGTACATTCAATGCTGTGCAACCATCACCTCTATCTAACTCCAAGACATTTCGGCACCCTCCGAGGGAACCCCACGCCGGTTCCGCCGCCACGTCTCGCCCTCCTCTCCCCCCTCCCCCAGCCGTGGATCTGTTTTCTTCTCCTCCTTCTATAGATTTACCTATTCTGGATATTTCATGTAAACGACCTCATAGACTATGTGGCTTTTTCTGACTGGCTTCTCTCACTTAAATTACATGCACATGTATCTTCTGAATAAATAAATAATTAGGACAGAATAAAGCATATGCGTGCAAATGTCTTATCACCGCGCCCAGCAGGCGGGAATGTCCATACGAGCGCGTCCTGGCATCTGGTCCCTTTCTTCTTTCCTCAGGGCTGTGTCTGGGGCATGTGCCAGCGCAGAGAGGTGAGTCCTTCCCCCAGACCCCTTCCCTCCTGCGGGATCTGCCAGCGTGCCAGGGCAGCGGGGCCCAGGCGGCGTCTGCGGGGAGGCTGACCCAGCCCTGCTCCTCTTCCAGGACCGCTGCCTAAGCCCTCCCTCCAGGCTCTGCCCAGCTCCCTGGTGCCCCTGGAGAAGCCAGTGACCCTCCGGTGCCAGGGGCCTCCGGGCGTGGACCTGTACGCCTGGAGAAGCTGAGTTCCAGCAGGTACCAGGATCAGGCGGTCCTCTTCATCCCGGCCATGAAGAGACATCTGGCCGGACGCTACCGCTGCTCCTACCAGAACGGAAGCCTCTGGTCCCCGCCCAGCGACCAGCTGGAGCTCGTTGCCACCGGTAAAGGAAGGGGGATCGGAGCCTGGGACTGCCTGGTCCTCCGTTCAGGGCACAAACATGGGGGACACTGAGAGCAGGGATTAGGGCCGGAATTAGGGCGAGGCAAACCAGGCACTGGCGTAGCGGGTGGTGGTGCCACAACATTTATGGATCAATGTGAATAATATTTTGTTTTGTTTTTTGGACACAGGGCCTTGCTGCGTCACCCACGCTGGAGTGCGGTGGTGCGATCTTGGCTCACTGCAGCCTCCACCTCCTAAGTTCAAGTGATTCTCCTGCCTCAGCCCTCCGAGTAGCTGGGACTACAGGTGTGCACCACCATGCCCAGCTCATTTTTAATTTTTTTTGTGGAGATGGGGTCTCTTGACAGTTTTCACAAAAGGCATTAAAATAAAAGAGAGAGAGAGGGTCTCGCTATGTTGCTTAGACTGGTCTGAAACTCCTGGGCTCAAGCAATCCTTCCACTTTGGCCTCCCAAAGTGTTGGGTTTACAGGCCTGAGCCACTGCATCTGGGTGAGAATAACATTTAATGCAATTTTTTAAAAATCAAAAGAAATCGCAAACCATCCACGATGAAAAAAAAATCAGAATTTCACATAAAGGCAGAATCAGGCAGTGCCTGTGCCAAAACGAAAGACAGGCACTCCTTTATCTGTGTTTTAATGCACTTAAAAAAATTAGAGATGGGCTCTTGCTATGTGGTCCAGGCTGGAGTGCAGTGGCTGTTCACAGGAGCAATCATAGCTCACGGCAGCCTGGAACTCCTTGCCTTAAGCAATCCTCCTGCCTCAGCCTCATGAGTAGCAGGGACTACAGTCACAGGCCACCATGCTTGGCTCAGGATTCTTTTTAATTAAAAACTTGGTTTTGGAATCATTTTTAGACTGACAGAAAAGTTGCAAAGATAATATTAATGAAAATATTTCACCCAGGATCCCCTCATGTTAACATCTTACATTTGTTACAACTAAAAAATAAACACAGCACTGGTCCCAGTGGCTCACACCTGTAATCCCAGCACTTTGGGAGGCTGAGGCAGGAGGACCACTTGAGCCAGGGAGGCTGAGGCTGCAGAGAGCTGTGATCGTGCCTCTGCACTCCAGCTTGGGTGACAGAGTAAGATCCTGTATCAACAAACAAACAAACAAAAAACTAACCATAGGCCAGACGCCGTGGCTCACACCTGTAATCCCAGCACTTTGGGAGGCCGAGGTGGGCGGATCACAAGGCCAAGAGATGGAGACCATCCTGGCTAACACAGTGAAACCCTGTCTCTACTAAAATACAAAAAAATTAGCCGGACGCGGTGGCGGGCACCTGTAGTCCCAGCTACTCAGGAGGCTGAGGCAGGAGAATGGCGTGAACCTGGGAGGTGGAGGTTGCTATGAGCCGAGATAGCGCCACTGCACTCCAGCCTGGGCGACAGAGCGAGACTCCGTCTCAAAAAAAAAAAAAAATCATAATAAATCTTTCTTTCACGGGAATAAGTATTCAAATAGAATAATGTGAGTTTTAATGACCTACTCTTCAAATTTGCAAACATTTTTTCAAATATGTTAATTGTTTGGGAATAATTACATTTTACATCCCAGGAGAGTGCCTCACTCATGCCACCCTAATTCCTGGCCCGCTGCACTGTGATCTATTCCGCGTTGTAAATTCTGCCTACCTCCCCTCTTTCCTCCCTCACTCCTCTCTGCTGCTAGGATGGACCAGCCTGGCCGCCTCATTACTTCTTTTGGGGTCAGACTCAAATGCCATCTTCTTATTAAGTATTTACCCCACCACCCTAGTCAAAATGGTCCTCCTCACTATCTGTTATGTCAAGTATACCTTTATTTTTACCTTGGTGATGGTTGTCTATTTTTAATTCCTGATGGGATTTTTTTGTTGTTGTTGTTAGAATACAGGGCTGGGAGCGGGTGGTTCATGCCTGTAATCCCAGCACTTTGGGAGGCCAAGGCGGGTGGATCACCTGAGGTCAGAGGTTCAAGACCAGACTGGCCAACATGGTGAAACTCTACAAAATACAAAACTTAGCTGGGCATGATGGCGAGTGCCTGTAATCCCAGCTACTCTCTAGGCTGAGGCAGAAGAATGGCTTCAACCTGGGAGGCGGAGACTGCAGTGAGCCGAGATCATGCCATTGCACCCCAGCCTGGGCAACAGAGCGCAACAAAACAAAACAGAACCAAACAAAACAAAACAACAAAAAAAGAATACAGACAGACACTTAATAGTTGCCTAAGAGAAAATTTGCTGAGTGAATGTTACGATTATCAGGCAGCTTATATCCTTCCTTCCTTCCTTCCACCCTCTCTTCCTCCCTCTCTCCCTTCCTTCCTCTCTTTTTTCTTCTTGTTGAGTGAATGCCATAATTATCAGGCAGTTTATATTTTTCTCTTCCTTACTTCCTTTCTTTTGGTTTCTCTCTTTGTCTTTTTTTTGAGACAAGGTCTCACTCTGTCACCCAGGCTGGAGTACAGTGATCATGGCTCACTGTAGCCTCGACTTCCTAGGCTCAAGCAATCCTCCCACATTGGCCTCCCAAAGTGCTGGGATGACCGGTGTGAGCCGCCGCCCCTGGCCTCAACCTTTGTCTTACTGACTCCTGGGTGCAGGCATGCATCACCGCACCGGACTACGACAATACCCTCACATCAGAGTAGTGTAGGTTCGTGCTGAGGAGTGGAGACCCTAGAATCAAACTCTGTGAGTGCAAATTTCAGCTCCGCCCCTTATGATCTTGGACAAGTTATTTATTTATTTTTAAATTAAAAATTTTCGGCCGGGCGCGGTGGCTCAAGCCTGTAATCCCAGCACTTTGGGAGGCCGAGATGGGCGGATCACGAGGTCAGGAGATCGAGACCATCCTGGCTAACACGGTGAAACCCCGTCTCTACTAAAAACTACAAAAAAAAAAAAAAAATTAGCCGGGCGAGGTGGCGGGCGCCTGTAGTCCCAGCTACTCAGGAGGCTGAGGCAGGAGAATGGCGTGAACCCGGGTGGCGGAGCTTGCAGTGAGCTGAGATCCGGCCACTGCACTCCAGCCTGGGCGGCAGAGCGAGACTCTGTCTCAAAAAAAAAAAAAAAAAAAAAAAAAAAAATTTTCCAGGTTTGTTGAGTTATAATTGAAAAACAAAAATGGAACATATCCAAGGCATACATGTTTTGATGTACGTATCCACTGTGAGACAGTTACCACGAGCAAGCTAATTAACATACATCACCTCGCACAGTTAACTTTTCTTTTGAGTGTGAGAACACTTATAATCTACCCTCTTAGCAAATTTCAAGTACGCACTGCTGTCTTGTTACCTAGGGTTGGACAAATTAACGCCATGTGCCTTAGTTTCATTTATAAAATAGGGACATTAAGAGTGAGGACTCCACAGGTCTCTGAGGATTCACTGAACTGATGTGCGTCATGAGTTCGGAAGGCACCCAGAGCTGGCACCGTCAGCCACGTTTCCAACGTAACGATTGTATGTGGCAATGCAAGCTTACGGCATGGTATAAGCTTAAGCTGTTTACGTACTCCCATCTCATTTCAAGCGCTTGCTAGGCAACAGGCACTCTGCTAAATGCTTACTGTGTACTGTCTCGTTCGATCATCCCCATTTTAGCAGAACAAGGCAGTGAGGCTCAGATACAGAGGAGATTTGTCTCCGGGGCCACTTAAAGGCAGAACCAGGATTCGCACCCAGGCACTAGGATGTGGGCACACAGCCTCGCTTCCTCAACCACTTGGTGCTTGACCTCTCTGTGAGCTTGGGTGGGGGAGTGTGCTGTCTGGGAGGGATACAGCCCTGGGAGGGATACAGCCAGAAAGCTCCCCAGCTCTCAGGCAGGTGTGGGCACCTCCCCAGTCTGAGCTGAGATGCTGGCTGCTGCCTTTAACATCAGACTTTCCTTTTTTCCCAGGAGTTTTTGCCAAGCCCTCGCTCTCAGCCCAGCCCGGCCCGGCGGTGTCCTCAGGAGGGGACGTGACCCTACAGTGTCAGACCCGGTATGGCTTTGACCAATTTGCTCTGTACAAGGAAGGGGACCCTGCGCCCTACAAGAATCCCGAGAGATGGTACCGGGCTAGTTTCCCCATCATCACGGTGACCGCTGCCCACAGCGGAACCTACCGGTGCTACAGCTTCTCCAGCGGGGACCCATACCTGTGGTCGGCTCCCAGCGACCCCCTGGAGCTCATGGTCACAGGTAGGGGTGGTGCAGACCAAACCTTTGTTCCTCAGCCTTTGTAGGTCCTGAGGGCCATTCCGAGGGGAGGGGCCATGGTGGGGAGGACGTGGGAGGGCAGGAAGCCCTGGGTTGCAGGCATCTGGGAGGATGGAGGTTTCTTTTCTTTCTTTCTTTTTTTTTTTTGATGAAGTCTCACTCTGTCACCCAGGTTGGAGTGCTATGGGGCGATCTCAGCTCACTGCAACTTCTGCCTCCCGGGTTCAAGCGATTCTCCTGCCTCAGCCTCCCGAGTAGCTGGGATTACAGGTGCAT